AATAGATGCATGAATGTTATGCATGCTTGGCCATCATATTAGGTTCATTCATTAATCATAAGCATTCCCAAGTTCTTCTTCTTCTTCTTCTTTTGAAAAAAAAAAAAAAAACATACTTTCCTCAAGGTTTTCTAATTATTTGATTTTATACTTTTTTTTTAAATATTCAACATACAAGGATGGTTGGTTTGACGTAGGGTATTTAAGAGTGGTTATTAATATAGCTATGGCATGTGACGTTCTTTGGGGTATCACAGCAAATACCACAAAAAAGCAAATTCATATGCAAGAAAAATGAGAGCATTAACCTGGCTGGTTGGGGACCTAAGGGATGGGATGGTCCCTATCAACGCCAGGAGGAAACTCCCAGTTACCCTCCACTATTACAACTATGTCATTAACACCCTTGCCAGAATCAAGAAGCATTTGAACTAACTGGCGTTTCGCCGATCTGGACTTCAAATAAAACTTCGCCCTTTCTCTGGTAGTAAGGACAAAATTATAGCAGTATTTAATCTCTTAAAGCCCTACGTTTACTCCTAAAGTGTTGTTCAAAGCAATCACTCACATGACTATTCTAAAGAAATTAGGGGCAAGTTAAGAAGGGTGTACCCCATAGAAGTGCAGTATCTCTCTGAGAAAAGGGTGAAGAGGGAATCAGACGCCTCCATTAATAATGTCCATTAAGGGCAAGAGAATCCACTCCTCTGACCCTTCGACGATGTCGTTGCCATCTAAAGGAAGATGAACGACAACGTCATCAGGAATATGGTGGAGAGTTCTAAATTCCTGAATGCTTTCTTTAGATTCAAAGAAACGCTTAAGACGACTTATGGCAACTAGGAAGTGAAAAGAATAATAACGAAGAAATTGCAAGAGAATAAGAAAAAATGAACTTACAAGATAGACTGATACTTCAAACGGTGGATAGAGAAAAATATGCATATGGGTTTCTGAAAGGATTGCAAGCAGAGTGGTGGAGGCGCTTCCTACTTAATGTGTCAGAGGCGGAATGGTGCCTAGAAAAACAATGTGGCGGATGTCATCATTAAAGTTGTAATCAAAAGACGCGTGTCATAAAAAAAAAGTGATACAACTCATCATTTGTTTGAACTAATGTCTTCGGCAACCAACCCAAGTCAGTCACTGAAAAGGGGCAATTGTGGAGTGATAAAATCTTGGCCCAAAACTGAAGCAGTTAGGCAAAGCAGCCCAAAAAAAAGAAAAGGCCCAAATGAATTTCTAAGAAACACATTAAAGACAGTTGGCAGTACAATGACACGTGACTAAGATCGTAAGAAGCAATGAAAAGTAAAGATCTCCTTCTAGAAGAAGATCTACAGAATATAAGAGGAATGTCGGATTCATCTTCATCTAACGGTGGAAACATCAAGACAGCAAATACAAGAGTATAGGTCATGCCTACTAGACGATAAGCCCATCCGATCAACTTGATCCGAAGAACACAACGCTTGACAAGTTGGCCACTAGCATCTGAGATAATCTAAGCCATCCATAAGAGGATAATCCAACAATCAAAGGCAAAGCCAACTTGACCGCTTGCCCGACCAAAGCCAGGAACAGGCAAAACCCTCGGATCAAACATTGATCTAATGAATGGGATTCAACTCAAGAAAACTATAAAAGGCGAAGCAGGTTAAACAAGGGGAATAAACCAGAGGTAATCCAAAAATCCTCTTTTAAATACAAATTCTCATGGCCAAACAATATTCTAACTTGACCGTCAAAGGATCCTTCCGACCAACGCTGGTCAAAGGTGATCACTGACGTTTGGTTTCTTTTGAGAAAGTAAAAGAAAGGGACACGTCATCTCATTTTACCTGTGGAGAAGAATTCTACCTTCCACACTTACCAAGCTACATAAGAATTCACATAAAATATAATATTTTTTTTTATTTGATTTATATATGATATTACAATGTAACCTAACGAATTACAATCATAATAATGACGAAGATCAAATATGACTTATAATTGAGAGAAACTCTCAATAAATATATAGGGAATAAGACCCATACACAATTAAAGAGATTTAAAACATTGGCCTCCTAATAAGATGTAGAGATTCTAGTCAGCTAATTCCATTAGTTAAGAAATAAAGAGTTTTGATTTAATCAAATATAGTAACCCTCTTTACAAAAAGGAAAATTTATCCATAAGTCCTAGTTTCTGAAAAGTTGAACCATTTAGTCCTAAAAGTTTTCTTATGCTCCATTTAGTCCCATTTGCACATCAATCTAATGTTCGAAACATTAATCTGATGTTCGAAAGCTAATGTTCGAAACATTAATTTGATGTTCGAAATCTAATGTTCGAAACATTAATCTGATGTTTGAAACATTGTAATGGGACCTTTCAGTCTATAAGAAAATTTTTAGGACTAAACAGTGTATAAGTTATTAATTTGGGATTTATTGATGCATCCCCCTTACAAAAACCAAAAACAAAAATAAATAACTGTGTACAAATCTTTTGGTGTGATTTTTTATAGAATGAATTTTTGTATAGTTTTTATACCCTCAACTTTTTTTTGACTATTATAACTTCAACTTTTATAAATTTCAGTCATCTAGAAATATTACTTCAAAATTACTTTATGATAAATAATTATGAAGAATTCAATCACATAAACACATCCTTACGCAGAAAAAATATTCAATATTCTTGAAGCGCCATCTATTTATACTCTAAGATTAATCATCATACATCATATCTCCTTATGTTTCTCAATCACCAATCACAACACATTGGAGTACCACATGGCCATACTCCAAGAGCACCCAAAATTCTATTTTCTTACCAGAATTGAGATCTCTCCAATAGTGGCTCAACAAATCTTTCTCTAGTTGAAAAATTAGATAAAGGAAAGATTTAAAAACCCATGATACTATTACACTATGCAAAATACTTTTCAATCTGCACGGATCTACTCAATTCGCTTGCCAATCGAGTTAATTTGAACCACGATTTGAAATTTATATTTTTACTTTTCAAAAAGCGCTATAGTTAATACATATTCTTTCTTTCTTTCTTTCTTTCTTTCTTTTTTTTTTTTATCTCTAATGAAATATCAAAACAAGAATCAAAATAAGAGATTTAAGATGTGAAATTTATTATAAATTAATGTTATATATATGAAAAATATTATATAAAATTAATTAGTGTTATAATGAGGGAAAATTTACCCATAAGTCCTAGTTTCTGAAAAGCTGAACCATTTAGTCCTAAAAGTTTTCTTATGCTCCATTTAGTCCCATTTGCACATCAATCTAATGTTTGAAACATTAATCTGATGTTCGAAACATTAATCTGATGTTCGAAATCTAATGTTCGAAACATTAATCTGATGTTTGAAACATTGTAATGGGACCTTTCAGTCTATAAGAAAATTTTTAGGACTAAACAGTGTATAAGTTATTAATTTGGGATTTATTGATGCATCCCCCTTACAAAAACCAAAAACAAAAATAAATAACTGTGTACAAATCTTTTGGTGTGATTTTTTATAGAATGAATTTTTGTATAGTTTTTATACCCTCAACTTTTTTTTGACTATTATAACTTCAACTTTTATAAATTTCAGTCATCTAGAAATATTACTTCAAAATTACTTTATGATAAATAATTATGAAGAATTCAATCACATAAACACATCCTTACGCAGAAAAAATATTCAATATTCTTGAAGCGCCATCTATTTATACTCTAAGATTAATCATCATACATCATATCTCCTTATGTTTCTCAATCACCAATCACAACACATTGGAGTACCACATGGCCATACTCCAAGAGCACCCAAAATTCTATTTTCTTACCAGAATTGAGATCTCTCCAATAGTGGCTCAACAAATCTTTCTCTAGTTGAAAAATTAGATAAAGGAAAGATTTAAAAACCCATGATACTATTACACTATGCAAAATACTTTTCAATCTGCACCGATCTACTCAATTCGCTTGCCAATCGCGAGTCAATTTGAAATTTATATTTTTACTTTTCAAAAAGCGCTATAGTTAATACATATTCTTTCTTTCTTTCTTTCTTTCTTTCTTTTTTTTTTTGTCTTTTTTTTTTATCTCTAATGAAATATCAAAACAAGAATCAAAGTAAGAGATTTAAGATATGAAATTTATTATAAATTAATGTTATATATATGAAAAATATTATATAAAATTAATTAGTGACTATTATACAAATTAACATTATACATTACGCAAATTCTTAATAATTGTTTAAAATTATTCTTCAATTAATTAGCGAATTAAAACCATCCAAATCGAGATTTGATTATTTATCAATCTGATATTTACAATCTAATTTATAATTTTACCCTCAAACCATACCCAATCACACTGAGCACACCAATATTGTAGGGCTTCTAATTCAACAGGTATCCCCTTCTTCTCATCACGTAACAAACTGGAATTCGATTCTCGCCAAAGGCAAAGAGTCAAGTCGCACTAATAACACTTATTTTAACTTACATTATCTAAACATCTTGCCATACATCACAACTGGCGCTTAGTGACTCCTTCTCCCCACCCCTTACCGCTGTGTTTAATTGAAAATTTGAGAAAATATTTAAAAAGAAAAGAAAAGAAAAAAGACATGCAAAACTATATAACATGTAAATTTCACTTACCTTTTTCCTTTCCTTTTTCAAACCCCTTCCTAAATCTTTCAACCAAACACAACGCAGAATAAGAGTAAGTTAAATATATAAATTGCATTTAAATCTTTCATAAAAAAGAAAAGTTAAAAAGAAAATTTTGCATTCAAGCATCCTATGAGTTCATAAATAGCAAGAGACCACTTCGTCAACACTTAAAAACCAAACCGACTTCGGTCAATTCTCAGGCCCTATTTCACAATCTCTTAAAATAAAAATAAATAAATAAATAAAAGAAAGTCATTTAATTTTTTTTACATTCTAAAAAACAAAAAAAAAAATTAAAAATTACTAAGGGTTAGAACGGGA